GGTTGTTGATATGCTCTGACATAAGCAAATGTGAACGTAACATAATATAACATGAGCACATCATTCTAACTATTTATTTACACTGGTAATCTATGGCGTTACTTCCGAGGCCAAGAGCATTTCATTTCGATGCTACTATACAGACTAAAGATGGACGACACAATAGAACATCCTGACCGTCTCCTAGAGGCTGGCTGCAGTATAGATCATAAACCCCACCCCCTACATATTAGCAGATGGGACTGAACTAAAAAAAAAAGAAAAAAAGAAAAGAAGAAAAAATAAAAAATATCAAAAAACACATTAAATAAGACTTTGGCTCTAAATGACCTCACCAGCGCAAGATGGCAGCGCCTGTATCCGAGATATTTTGGACACGTCGTCCATCTTTATATACAGTCATTGAGCCCGCTCTGTTGGATTTGGGGAAAGTTAATTAGCCTCTTCAAACTCTACACTACAACAACAATGTTTTTTTATTTTGCCATCTTCCACATGCATCATAAAGTGGTGAGTGGTGCTTGGGACAATTTGAGCATAACAGTATGTAACTTATCTTGTGGGGAAGGGACACTAGATACTACTAAATTCTTACCTAAGTGCCTGTGACTTGACTAAAATAGACCAACATCTTATGAGAACATGCTATTTACTTTAGCAATCACAAGTGGCTTCATACCATTTCCTTATTTTTTACAAAGGCCTGATGAATAGCACAACTTAAGACATGAAAGCTCTTAGCTACTGGTATCACTTTTCTTGAAAAAAAACAGAGGCCTAACTATTTTGTTGGAAAATCTTCATTCTTCAACAAAATGATAAAGTTGGGGAGGAAGAAAATTCCCATCCTCTTATTATACTGGTTTAAATCTGATACATCTAAATATGAATCCCATGTCTAAAGTGGAGAGTCACCATATGTTTTTTGGATTGAACTGGGTCAAGCAGAGTAGAAAAACACCCATAGAGCTGACATAATTTATGTCATTCATGGCTCAGTGAAATGATTTGACTCTTTTCTCTCTCCTTTTTGCCGTCCACGTTACTTGATGTTGGCGAGAAGAACACGTGGCTTGCTCTGGTAATTACATACAGTCATTAACTGTCTGCCTGTTCATATTTTCATCGTTTAGGTCAATATTGTGACTGGGTGCTTACACAGCCACACTTGCCAGCTGCGATATATGAACAAAAGTGCAGTCGGAAAAGAAGTATGGACCCCTGATCTTGCTTGTTTGTGGTTTAGACTGACAAGAAACCTAAATGTATGACATGAAAACAAACAAAGCATGGTTTCAAAGTACGAATGCTGCTTGAGAATTACAATATACTTTGTATGAGCTGTCAAACAAGCTGAAGCAAGATAAATCAACATAGGCTCATATAGGTCTGAATCATAAGATCTAATCTCCTGAGGCTTTGGGGAGTGCGGTAACACTGACTGTCAGATCAAAAGCCAAAGTTTGCATCACATGTCTTTTCAGAGAAATGTGTGCGTGTGACTATGATGGGAAAGTGAACTGTCTTGAATTCCTTTTCTTCATCTAATGTGTCCAGCACACATACAAACACAGCGTCCCTTGAAAAGTTGTGGACATAAGTGTTTTATTTGCCATGGAGAATGTGATAGTAAGAACAGTTTGAAAAGAAAAAAAACAAACATTTTCCTGTATTTAACAACAGCATTAACACATACACATGATATATGAATATTTATAGCAAACTGACATGTATGCTATGAATACCCCTCTCTTAAAATATCAGTTTGTGCCATTTAAGTCAAATACACTGCAGGTTAATATTGAAGGCAGCACTGACACATGAGAAACCACAGCATTTTACAGCTTCATTAAGACAACATGAAAGTGGAGAGTGAAACACGGCTTTGTAGTGAGGTACTAAAACTTGTCAGTCTGATGGAGCCGCACTACATACAAAATACATTTACAGACAGAATGTCGAGTCATTTGAGCTCCTGGCAAAATAAAAATGACTGCTCAATTGTACATCTTCCTCCAGTGTGTTGGATGTTTTCATTATGCAATGTCTGTCAAAGTTAATTTGAACAGCACATATCTACTGTAAATGAGTATAAACACTCAAAGCTGGATTTGGAAGAAAACTCTTTTATTGAAATCACAGGTGCAGGTCTGTATATCTGTTTAGTATAACCTTTCCAGCTGTGAAAATACTGCTTAAAAAAACGTTAGAAGATGTTCTCACCTGTTTGACAGCTACTCTATAACCATAATACTGCAGATAGAGGTTGGCCATGAATCAAGTCATTGTAATGAACACTTTAATGGGATAAACTATGTATTAGTTGGCTTAGTGCTCAGTTCTTTGATCTGATATTTCCTGATTTGAGAAAATTAAGGAATACCTGTCAAATGTAAATATACATGCTGTTTGTATGTATGTATATATACATAATATAATCACATAAAGAAGACATAAAGAAATTCTGACGACAGTCAGCTCTGTGGTCAACAACTTGAGTTATTGTGCAATAGTGAAACTGATAAAAGTACAAGATGAGGTCATGCATCATCACTCTTCTCTAGGCACTATATTAAACAACTGAAGAGCAGTGGTGTCAATGAACAGATAAAATGTGGTTTTGGGGAAGTAAATCATGACCATCTTGTGAGGTCAGTGGTGCTTTGGCTTTGCCATCTAAGCATTTGAGCTAAACTAAGAATGAGTGTGTGTAGAGCCCATTTGGGAGAGCTGTCTTACTTTTGACTGGGAACAGTCTTATTTCTCCTGACAGTGGTGACGTCTTCCCATCACAGAGGCTGAGCTACAGTCTTGTAATCCAGACTTGTCCTGTCTTTTCTTGTGGGCAGCAAGTGCTCCTGTTTGGCGGCTTCCACCTCGATAACGTTGGGCCACAACACACTCAGTAATCCTGAATCCTACAGAAAGAGCATATAAGCAGCACATACTTATTGGAAAACATCTGCATGAATACTTCAAACACTGTAAATATATTGTTCCCTCACATTTTTTGAATTGGGATGTCACATTACTTAATTTTATAAAAGAATTGAAATATTCTCTTATTTTACTATTATACTTATACTTTACTCTCTTATACTAAGTCAGTGGCAATATTAGTGGTTATCAAAGCGCATGGCACCACCTAGATGAAAACACTGAGGGAAAAAATGTAAGAAAGTGTGATAACCATATTTGTGACAACAGCAACGACATGAGACAGCTCACATCAGGATAATTTTTGAACACAGTCAGTGTCACATATCAGCATGGCTTAAGGACCATAAATCTCTGTTCCAATATGTGATTTTAGTAAAATCCTTCAGTTTGATCTATTGTGACTGATGGAGGAATGTCAGTTTCTGTGTCTGTTGGCTTTTATTGTTATAATTTTCCTTTGTTCTCAATAAATATGTAATTTGCACTGTAATAGTTTTTTATGGCTGTTATTACATTCCCTCTTTCCTTGTTGCTATGTCCAATGGCCAAACCAATCAACCCAGTGCTCCCCATATAAGACACAGGCTAACTGTGAGGACCCTGTTCTTCAAGGGTCAGGTTCTTCTCTGCATCTCCTGCTGTAATTCCCATTACTGCCCTGGGCTCCAGAATCTCACAGCCTAGAAACCTGTTTGCTCTTTCCCTTCTCATCCTCCCCAGCTCCTGTTCTCCCCCTCTTTAACACATGAAAACTGTGCTGTGCATCATCCAAAACAATTACAATAACGTTTGTGCCTAAGATGTAAGAGGGACATACTTGAGTCTAGACTGAGGAAGTGATGTAACAGACATATCTGTGCTCTGGTCAGTGAGCTGCATACTTTTAGCTTTGACTCCTCTGTGAAAAAGGGGGGGGGGGGGCAGGTTATAGCCACTACTATTTTCAGGCAAAGCTTTTCATTGCAGGGCTTCAATCACATGTTTGATCCACTGTCATTGTTCTGAGCGAACCTCCAGATTCCCTTTTCATCCCTCACTGGTTGCTAAAATGAAATAGCAGTCAGCACCTCACAGGTATATTTTCCTTTATTTTTGCCAAACTGAAACAAATAGGCCTGCAGAATCCACATGCTATGGACTGCCATTATGAATTGCATTTGATTTATGTTACACATAAATTTTTCTAATAAAGAAATTCTCATACTTTGGCTGCTCACTTAAAAGAAGAAGACAGACTGAAATATTATTTTTAGTACAATGCTGGTTTATAAAAATGCAGTGTGTCGACTGATCTCCTGCTCCCTTCAATCACTTCAACAGAATCCTGATGATTTCTTCATTCCTCGAGTAACTAAGGGGTCGCATTTCAGTGTTCCACGAACCACACTTTCAAACAAATCCTATTTTTATGCACTGTCTTATGATGTGATAACATCCTAATGTTACCTTTGCGGCTATGTGACAGACATGGAGGCTCCTCTGTGAAAGCTACAGCTTTGAACATGAAATACCTATAGAGCTTCAAAGCTGTGAGTGTTACCACAGAGGCATCATTATTAAGACCAATTATATCAGAGTTCACTAGACTGGTCTGACTTATGCTCAAGCTTGCACCATTTGACATTAAATTTACAGAAATGTCAATCCAGGCCAGATATATTTGATAAAGAGTGTTCTGCCAAAAGCTTTAGTCACCAAAAAAAGTCTTGACATGAAAAATCAGAAAAATACAGTAACAAATTAACTCAATGAGGATTGGTGTCATGGCTGCACATTCTTACCACATATATATTTTCATCAGAGCTCAACTATAATGTCACTTTCCATATTGCGTATTTAAACCACATACACTACATCTACTTAATCAAACACTGTCTAAAAACAATGCAGACTTGTAGTATGAAAATCTAACGATTGTCATATTCTGAAGGTGATAGAGCCCCCTCCTTATGAATGTGGTTCAAAGTTGTTTGCATATGCAAATTACACAAACACTTCCTTCTCTCTGTAATAAGGAAACATTTAAAGGCTGAACCTGTCAGTAATGAGTGCCACTGCTCTTCAGTAGCTCAGCTGGACTGTCATCTCACCATGTTTTTCCAATGGAAACTGGTCATATTGATACTTGCACTGAGTCTTGAGGGTCAAGGTAAGAAGTGTTTTTACATATACCATTCCATCCAGGTTGTTATAGAAAATGCATTAGACTACAGTACATGAGGAACTACATTCCGCACTGTGGGATATATGATGCATGAGATGGATTTGTACATTTTAATTTAATTTAAGTCTCTTTGGTCAGTTTAGGCATATGTATTAAGGACATTAATAACATCAATGTTCATCGATTAATTTCTCTCTAGCTTGTGCAGGAGAAATCTCTGGAGGCCACGAGGCTGTCCCACATAGTAGGCCATACATGGTGATTGTGGAGCAACACATGGAGGATGGTAAAACAAAATACTGCGATGGATTCCTTCTGAATGAGGATTTTGTGATGACGGCAGCCCACTGCCAAGCAAAGTCAGTTTTACACACTTTATGTTGAAGTACTGAGAATTCTGGTTCCCATGATGAGATTTCTTAACCCACCAACAACCTAGACACGTGTATTGAGATTGGCAGATATATTTCATGACAGCTCTGTGAACTGTGACAAAATTTTTAGTCTCTAAATATTTGTATTTTTGTGTAAACAATGCTCTGACCAAGTAACTAATCTATTTACTGGCATATAACTTTTTTACCTTAAATTTTGTCAGGTCCTACACAGTCTCTCTAGGAGTTCACAACTTCCGAGACAAAAAAGAAGTACAGTGTATATCTGTGGAAAAAGCATTTCCACATAAAGACTACGATTCTATAAATCTAAAAAATGACATGATGCTTCTTAAGGTAAGAAAATCCTCAAAAAGTCTAATTTTGTTATTTCAAGATTTCTCTGTGTTTCTTATTATGTTATTTGCAAATGCTCAGTTGAATGCATTAATGAAATAGGTGCCCGAAGTACTGTATGCATTCACATCACTGAACAATAGCTAAACAGGTGAGTACTGGAGAAATGTGAATTGATGTTTCATCTTCATATTTGTATTATTTTTTCTATCTCTCCCTGTTCCTTAAGTTGAAGTCCAAGGCAAATCTCAACAAAAATGTGAAACCCATTGCTCTTGCAAGCAAAGATGATGGCTCTCTGCCTAAATCATGTATAGTCTCTGGCTGGGGAAAAAGCGACAGCAGTAACTATATGTCTCAAATACTCATGGAAGTCAATGTAACACTCATTGACAATGAGCTGTGTGTCCAGAATAAGTTGTACTGCTCTGATGGAGACGCTGGGCCGGAGAAGGTATGTATATTTATGAAACATAACATCTACAAACACACTTTGCCTCAATAACTGTGATTTAATTGTCACTGCAAACTGTGTATGTACTTCCAGGGAGACTCTGGTGGTCCATTGGTCTGCGAGGATGGAAAGGCGTACGGGGTGGTGTCCTTCAAATACCATCCAGTGGCAGATGAACCGCCTCTAAACTGCTATACTAAGATACCTGAGAACATGAGCTGGATCAATTTGGCCGTGAAAACTGCATGAAAAATACCTAATGCATGTAACACTTGATTGATCAGAGTGCAATATTTGAATTTCATTTGTATTTCAGGTTTTTGTATGTATGTAACACTGCAGAACTGAAGTGCTAAAGATTGAAATGCTAGTAATGCCACTGATTCCAAGTCTGTAACTGCTTGCTTTACACAGATTTAATCAAAATATGCTTTAATTTGATGATAGCTAATGATTCAAGCCTTTATATGGAAAGCTTACAGAGTAAAAATATATGATACACGTATGTCTGCACCTCTGTTTGAACAACAATTAAACCAACAAAAAAGACAACACTGCCTCCTTGTGAACAAAGTGTAGTGATGCAACAACAAGAGGTTCACTGTTCATTTGTTGAAGTCAGAGCTGAAAGTCTCTTCTTTGTTCTCATCTATAAACTGTAAACCTAATCAAGTCTCTGCCTGTTGTTTAACAAGCCAGCACATTTTATGTCCAATTTTGAGATTACTTAGGCATTACTAAAAAGGCAACATTCCTTTACTACCATACCAAATGTTGGCTAAATACATTCTACATGACCAGCTCATTTATATTTTATGTCATTTGATATTCCAGTAACCTCTCAAACTATCACATGGGGGAAAATTGTATGTATACCTTAAGGGGGGGTCAAGAGTTATTTTGTACAGCAAACTGAAATGACTTTTAATAACTTGGAGTAATATTATAAAAATAATACTACACTACATGAAGTCTATGAACAAAAATTGGGACAGACATTTTTAAGAAATTTTATATTTAAAACATGCAAGATAAAGCATGTTTATTCAAACTGAATATGATGATAACATGACAGAAATAATGAATCATGGTAAACTGCCAGAATACTTGTGTTGAGGACAGAATAAACCTGCTGCTGTGATGTTTCTCATTTGTACAAGTGTTACATCAAATTTATAGGTTACAGATAAAAAGAAAGAGATTCTCTTTAGGTCTGGATTATCCCCATCTGACTTTTAGGTGTTGTCTTTCTTATTGAAGAAAGCTTTTCCTTTATAATAAATTTGAAAAAGTTTAAAAAATTCTGTTTTTGCCTTGTCCTTATGGGGTATAAAGTTTGGTTAAGTGTATGAAGTGTATTTTGACATGAGGCTTCATTATATTAGTATATCATATAATACAACAGTCTTAAGAACTTGTAGTATGAAAATCTAACTATTGTCATGCTCTGGATGTGATAGAGGCCCCTCCTTATGAATTTGGTTCAAAGCCAAATTGTTTGCACATTCAAGCTACA